GTTGACTCTGTCGCCATCTTCCTTGTTTCATCCACTTTGATCGGGTGTCTCTAGATCAATCTCGATGGTGGGTTCTACTCGCTCCCCTTCCGTGCCCTCTTTCGCCCTGCTCTCCGCTGTACTCCTTGTGCTGACCATGTTAACTGAAAAGTTCTTCTTCGTTATCTTTGGGCCCGTTGATGTCGTTCCGCGCAGCGATGAATTATATTTTGTGTTTGATCCACTTGACCTTTTTTCGAGCACCGGTACCCTACTCCGCCTCATTATTTCTATTTACAACTGCTTTTATTTACAATTTTATTATATACACGATTCTATTCTAAGAATAAAAAAATAATAAAACAACAAGACAACAAAAAAAAATTTTTTTTGTGGTAACAAATTTAGTACAACGTGTTAAAAACCTTGTTGTAGCTCTCTTTCTAAAACCTTTGAAAAATTTCCCTTAATGTGGTCTCAACTGTACCTATTTCGATTTGTCTTATTCTGTCTTAAAACACCCTTGTTGTAATTTGACTTCAATTTCTATACCGTCCCAAGACTATTCGTCACTATCACAGTACTCTCCGCTAGTGTCCTAAGACCCTTGTACCAAGGCCACTGTTCCAAGACTACTGTCCCAAGACTAGTGTCCCAAGACTACTGTCCCAAGACTAGTGTCCCAAGGCTAGTGTCCCAAGACTACTGTCCCAAGACTAGTGTCCCAAGGGTAGTGTCCCAAGACCAGTGTCCCAAGGCTAGTGTCCCAAGACTACTGTCCCAAGACTAGTGTCCCAAGGCTAGTGTCCCAAGACTACTGTCCCAAGGGTAGTGTCCCAAGACCAGTGTCCCAAGGCTAGTGTCCCAAGACTACTGTCCCAAGACTAGTGTCCCAAGGCTAGTGTCCCAAGACCAGTGTCCCAAGGCTGGTGTCCCAAGACTAGTGTCCCAAGACTAGTGTCCCAAGACCACTGTCCCAAGACCACTGTCCCAAGACCCTGTCCCAAGACCCCCGTCCCAAGACCACTGTCCCAAGACCCCTGTCCCAAGACCCTGTCCCAAGACCACTGTCCCAAGACCCTGTCCCAAGACCCTGTCCCAAGACCCTGTCCCAAGACCACTGTCCCAAGACCACTGTCCCAAGACCCTGTCCCAAGACCACTGTCCCAAGACCCTGTCCCAAGACCCTGTCCCAAGACCACTGTCCCAAGACCACTGTCCCAAGACCCTGTCCCAAGACCACTGTCCCAAGACCCTGTCCCAAGACCACTGTCCCAAGACCCTGTCCCAAGACCACTATCCCAAGACTGCTCTGTCCCAAGACTTCTTCGGTCTTGTCCCAATACTCGTCACGGAGTGTCTTCCTCGTTGTAGGGTCTTCTTGAATCACCGTACATTGTACCACCACTCAAGCTCTAGTAAAATTTTCCCAAAAACCCTCTCTTAAAAGCCAAATGCTGACCCCCCTCTTCCTTTTGGTTGTTTCTATTTCAATGTAGGTGCGCAGGTATCTTGTGATCACCTGTTCGTATAAAACCAAACACAAATCCTTACTAAAATGCAACAAAAATCTAAGTAAGAAAAATAATAAAAACAGAAAAATGAGCCCACCTGAAATTCAAAGGTGACCAATGTCTACCTTTCGTCTAAAAAAAATGTCTGGTACCTAATTGCCACGCGTTTTCCTCCCCCCACTAGTGATCTTATGGGGTATCACAAAAGCTGTCTATATCCGGTCCCCCTACCAAACCAACCAGCGTACCAGTCTTAACTCGAGTTGAATTTTGGATCTCCACCTAATATTACCAACGCGTGTTAATTTCTAATGTAACTAAGTCAACGATGTCGACTAATTAGTTACTCTAATTTCCCCCTTTTTACAATTTACAACCGCCAACCTCTAACTTAACCAGTCCCCCTTCTAACCTCCCCCCTTTCTAGCCCCCCTTCTTAAGCCTAAAAATTTCTTTAAGCGCCGGGTGCTAAACCTCTCAAGAGAAAACCGTAGACCTGTTTCCAGGCCTGCTCAAGTAAAAACGTTCCTCAAAACTGGGGGATTTCGCTTATCCAATTTTACACTTATCTCCTATAATGTAATGTGGATTCTAACGATACCCGTTCTGCCCAACTTGAGAACTCGAGAATTGCCAAATCCTTCTTGGCTGCTTTCCCACTCGACTGGTCACCTGTTCCAGTCCAGTCTCCTATTGGCTCAGCTCAAGTGTCCCTGAACCACTTTCCCACTCGGCTGGTCACCTCTTCCAGTCAAGTCTCCTATTGGTCCAGCTAAGTTCCAAGCTATCTGAAAACCCTTGACAACGCCCCACTTCGGGCACTTTATTCAGTTTACTGGTTTAAATTGCTAGGTTGATCGAAACGATCGAACTTGTAAAACAGTATGGGTATACTATTTAATTAATATAAAGGTTTGATCCAACTAATCTGGTGTCAAAGTCACTGTCTTTTTTCGTTTTATGGTTTTTGTTCCTTTTTCTATTCTTTTTTGGTTTTTGTTTTGCTTTTTGTCTTTTTGCTCGTGTTTTTGTCCCCCTAGTTGCCCCCCTTTACTCGGTTAGCTAAGCCTCGTTCGGAGAGCGTACCAGGAAATTTTCTCGAGTTTTCTTAAAAAGCTATCACGGTACAACCGGAAGGTTTGCACGTTCCTGTCGAACCGTACCGCCGGTACTCTAGAATGGGCATTCAGCCCGAAGCTGTCTCAAGTGGGTTCGACTCCGTAGTCTTGATGTCGTAAACACCCAGGAGCGCCATAAAAACACTATGTAACATTCGTCTACTGCAGTCACACATGAGGCTTAAGAAAAATAGGCCCTATAACCACTGGCTCAAGGGTCAGGGACACTATCTCTTGTGTTTTTCTACCTCAAGAACGGTCGGAGCCAGTTCGGTTCGCTTGTGACATGAGACTACGACCCGTTACAGCTTAAAGGCTACTACTAAAATATCCCCCCACTCTAGAATTAGAAACGTCCCCATACTTAGGTCTCTAGATACCCAAAATACATGAACGCCGTTAAAAACCGGGTTGGAACAATCCGTTAAGTTACTTTTTATTAGACAGTGGAACTTTGATCCATTTCAGATGGATCAACCTAAAACTCGCCTTACCTCAACATAACAATTATAAAACACACTCTGGGAATTTAAATTTGTACTCACATAGTAGCACGCTCAAGAAGTGGGAAATAATCCAGTCGGTAACTAACTCAAGAATTAAATAACGTAACTAAATGAGTCTAATGTTTTATTGTTATAACAATGAGAACGAGTTTATACTCTAGACAATAGTTTTCTTGTGAACCATTAGGACACTCAAGCTGTCCACCTTTCCACCGAAGGTTCACTCTAGTCCAGTTCCGAATAATACTCCAGTCGTTATAATCCAATTCGAGGGAATGCTCTCGTCTCTGTCACAGATGGGACAGCTCTACTCTCGATTATTATAGTGATGGAAATTGCGAATAGCAATTTCCTACTGCTTTTTCTTGCGACTTTCCCGCGTATGCGACTCAATTGTTCTGAAATTGTTCTGATCTCTTTTTCTGATTTTCAGTTCTCGCGAGAAAATCGTGCATGACAGGTTCCATTCGAAATTTTGAAAAATTAAATTTCACTCCAAAATCAAGTGTTTTTTGCTTCTCTCAAGGTCAAACTTCCAAATATGACCGACTGGCACACTACTTCGGTTGAGGCTTTGAGGGAACTGGCTTCAATTATATACACCATTAACAATCTTCACCCACGAAGCTAGAGGCGTGGGACTTGTTAATAGTGTATCGATTCAGTCCACTAGCTCAGATTATCTGAAATTGCACGGTTTGTGAATTTGAAATGGACAAGCTATTTAATAAGTTTATCACAACAATTAGGCTATCACAACTTCGGGCATCGTCATATTTGCCCGGAGATCAAATTTTGCCGATGTTTTTCTAAATTTTTAATGAAGTTGAAGTGATGTGAAAAATTTCTCAGTATCAAGAAATTACAAAATTGGTTCGATATTTTCCCAAAACCTGAATTTTGACTTTTGTGTCCAAAATGTTTCATGTTTTCACTAGGCTAGTATTGGCGATATAGTACACTAGTGAACAAAATTAAGCGCAAATTTCGAATTTTACTCTCTAAACTGCCTGTTTTCTTTGTCCAATTTGACTGTACATCCCTCGAAACTCAGAAAGTTTTTGGATATACCAAAAGCAAATGATTGGAATTCACAAACTATCAATTTTGGTTTCAATGACGTACCAATGAAATCCGGGTTTGAAAATGCCAGTTTTCCTCCTCTGCCCTAAATTTTGCATCGAATGATTTCGTGATTGATTAAGGGCAGTAAGAAATGTTTATTGGACATGCAACTTTCTCAGTGAGAAAATGGAAACAATCATTATGAAAACTTTACTAAACTCTGACGTCACTTTTCACGCGAAGTAAAAACTGAAACACTGGCATTTTCGGACCCGGATTTCATTGGTAAGTCATTGAAACCGAGTATTGATAGTTTCAAAGAAGGCAGCTCTGATCTATTGCTCTTGGTCTATTTACATGTTTTGTTCAAATTCAAGGAAATGTCCAAAGTGGACTTAACTTCACAACATTAATGAATTCGGCAGATAAGTTTCAGTTGTTTCGCACAACTGAAATGAAAAAGAAAAATTCGACAGGTCATAAACTCTATTGCAAAATCAAAAGTCAACCTAGAAGCCAAGCTGGACTTTGCAAACAAAAGTACGAAAATTGTAGAAAAACCTAATAAAAAATCTGATATTAACACAAAGAAAAAGGAGGTAAAAAAGCCTTGAAAAAATTATGTTGTGAATTCAACAAACGTTTTCACACTATTTTAGTGCTTCTTCAGGTTTAAAATTTTAACTTATATTTACAGAATGATCAAAAATCATAAATAGTGTCAAACAAATTGTTCATATAAATTAATCGACTTACTACAACATCTTTTATTACATAACTTTTTTAAATGATGGTCGTTCTCTTTTGTTTTCAAGTTAAATGTAATATATTCAATGGCTGACGCAGAACTTCGAAGAAGGCGCACGGCAGATGGGCTGATCGAAGAAAAGTCTTCAGATGTGAAGCTGGGAATGGAAGACGAAGAAGTGGAGCGCAAACAGCTGGGGCAAAAAAAGTCAATGGAAGTGGATCCATTGCTTACAGAAGTAATCAATCATATTCAAAGGATTGGATTTCATATTACTGCGTTGTTTGTGTTTTATCTGTTGGGACGCATGGGTTTGGTATGGACGACTTTGTTGCTGTCAATTGTAGGATATTATCTGATTGTCAAAATGGATTCAATCAAGAAGAAACTTTCGTTCCTTTTGCACTTTGTACAACCCAAAGACACTGATAACGTAAGAGAGCATCATATTACAAGTCGACCTAGAGATCTGCCGAGGTGGGTTCGGTTTCCTGACGAAGAATCGGTCCATTGGCTGAATAACATAATCCAAGCATTGTGGCCATTGATTAGCCAGTATGCAGACTCAAAGATAAGGTCAGAAGTTCAGCCGATTCTTGACGAAAAAGTTCCTCCTAAGCTCAAACCGGTCAGCTTGCACCAATTGGATTTCGGATCAATCGCTCCACTAGTGGGCTCCATTCAAGTATACGACGAAGAGTTCACCAAAAGAGATGAAATCATTATGGATATGGAGCTTTACTATGCCGGGAACTCTAATTTTTCTGTCACGGTGAAAGATCACGTCGCTGCTAAACTATCAGATGTCCAGTTTTTTGGTCACTCGAGATTGGTTCTCTCGCCTCTGTCAAAACAGATGCCTCTAATCGACGCTATTCAGTTTTACTTTACCAGAGCTCCTCAGATATTTTGGCGTGGCAAAAAGTTGCTCTATTTACTGGAATTTCCAAAAGTAAATGACATGATAATGGAACAAGTTTTAGACCAGATGGCGAAATTTGTCATATTTCCGAATGCATTCTGCAAGCAACTGCGGGATAAATCAAAAGATAAGTTTACTATTCAGTCTCCGATTGCGGATGGTGTTCTGAGAATAGCGGTACGAGGTGCTCGAAACCTAGCCAACAAAGATACATTTGGAAAGTCAGACCCTTATTGTGTCACTGTTGTGGGGTCAACATCGTTCAAGACGAAAGTGGTCGAAGACAACTTAAACCCTGTGTGGAACGAGTTCTATGAGCTTCCGATCTATAATCCTGCGGGCATGAGCGTCGATTTTTTTCTGTTTGACGAGGATGTGAACAACGACGAAAGTCTAGGCGGACTCAGGTTGGTTATTTGTACAAGCAACACTAGTCAGACTGTGATGAAATTGTGAAAATGATTAGAAAAGTTCTCCTGTTGGATAGTTTGTCTGATTTTGAACATAATCCAAGATAGCCAGTTTCTGTGCAAGTAAATAAAAACGATAAGAAAAAATAATTTTTAATTTTGTAGGGGAGAGGGATGATGCGATCTTTTACAAACTAGTTAATTAAGGTAAATTCACAATCAACAGAAAATGGACCGAAAATCAATTAAGTCTGAAGAACTACTGTTTTTCTTGGCACTGAATTCTTTTGCTATCCGAATCACAACCACTATGGCTTCAATATGGTACCACACTTGAACATTTCGGAGCTTTCTCTCCGGTTTTCAAAATTGTCTGGAAAAAACACGGCCCTGCTCTATAGTTCCCGCTGCCGGAAGTTGTCGCAACAATAATTTTGATCCTCAATACCTGGTCGGAAGAATAATTTTGATCCCCAATACGTGATCGGAACAATAGTTTGGATCCTCAATACGTGATTCAAGTTAACAAAATGGAAATGCTAAAATTTAACTTGTGATATAGTTAAAAATGAATATTTTGCCATGTTTTTATTTCATCACTTGAGATGATAATTTATTTCGCAGAAATAGCTGCAATGGGCCGCTAAACAAGTCACCATCGAAAATAAGTTTGGCTTTTAGTACTCTTTTATTACATTCAATGTTTTAAAGCAAATATATAACGACACCAACCCAAAAGCCAATCTATAATAGTTTTCAGGCGCGCAATTGTGTGATAGAAAACTTCTAAAAAAAATTGCAACTTTTGCTTTAATTGGGTCTTTTGGTGTTGAGGAGACTCAGAAAACATATTGATCAAACTGAAACGGAAAGGCCGACAAAAGGTTAGGTTTTGTTTTTCTTGATTCGCCCGCCTCGAAAAAGATTTTGATCTACTTGTAATCAGATGTGCTTGTTCAATTGTTAGTTGAACGTTACTTTATTTTAGCATCCCGTTGACGCAAATTAAGAAGGAGGGTTTTATAGACACCTCAGGGCGTCTTGTGGACACCAAAAAGGGCGAGATTCAGGTCCAACTTCAGTACTGCCACCTTGTGCCGAAAATTGACGAATCGGCTGACAAATCAGAACCTGTCAAAACCGATGTCGTCACACTGACCGAAAAAGCTACCAGTGAAATCACGGAATGTTTCGGAGCTTTTCCAAGTACTGCTCAATCTTTCAGTCAGTGTTATGTGAACGTGTTTATAGATTCGGCATCAAACTTGCCTCGAAATCATCCGACTGATATGCGGGCTTACCCCAGCCCATATGTGAAAATATCCATTCCAGGATATCCATTGGAGAAGCAGACAAAAGTTGTGAAAGATATGAGTAATCCAGTCTGGGAGCAGAGTTTTGACTTTCTGGGCGACAACACAGAAGATAAAATCATCAAATTTGAAGTGTTTGATTCTGAGAAGAACACGCAAAGGTAAGTTTTATTCAGAATAAACATTCTGAATACTTCAGGTTTAGTCCAAAAAGCTGCGTTTCAGCATTGCAAGAGTTACAAGTAGCCTATAAATGTCTTGCCGAACTATAAATGTAAGACTCCAAATCGAACGTAAAACATTACAGGACTGCTCGTTTCAAGGCGAATCCCTGAAATTTTTAAATGACCAAATAGCATGCCTCAATTGAATTGGGAGCGATTTCTAAGACGGATTAATTTGTGCGCTTTACGCGTTATTAGCACAAATTGATGCATATACAAAATAGTCCCGAAGAAAACAGTCCAAAACCATGTGAGTTTTTTTACTTTGATCTTTTATATGCCTACAGAATTGATTTACACTTTCAAACATCAAATATGAGCTTAATTAAAGATCAAAGAACCAGAAATCGAACACAGATTAAAATTAAAAGCTTAATGGTATAGTTTTTAATGCCGTGTATGTACAAAACAGTCCAATACAAAACAGTCCGGAAAAGTATGAAAATGAACGAAAAAACAGTCCGATACAAAACAGTCCGAAAAACAGTCCCAATTAATAATTGTTTTAACAAGCCGGCAGGCCGAGAATTGTCCTTTGTTCAACAAGCATAATGAACAAAATAGTGACCGCCGCAGTCGCGCCAACGTGTTGCGAGCTTGCCAACAGAGGGTAGGACTTAATACGAAATTTAGAGCCGGTTATCGCCGCAAAGCGGCGACGCGCGCGCAGCGAGCCCACCGGCGACCTTAAACCGGACTGTTTTGTATTGGACTGTTTTTTCCTCCATTACATGATTTTTGGGACTATTTTGTATTGGACTGTTTTGTATGGGACTGTTTTGTATATGCACCGTTTAATGCGTTAGAATCTAACTCTAGAGATCGAAGGATCGAACCCGGTCGGCACAAAAAATTTTTTTTAGCTGTCCGAAAAAAGCTGAAATTGAGTAATCATGACAACGGGTATATCTAGGGTGCAAAAGATAGGCTCCACTTGAGAGATTTAGGGCGAGGGGAAAAGGAAAATCAACAACTTGCATATGTCCAATATTTTGCCGGTTTCAAATTGTCTCCAGTTCAACTTGAAAAATTAAGAAAAAAAATGGTGAATTACTGGGTCTGACTACTCTTCTCCGGTACACATTTTTTCCAATAAAGTTTCCGCTTTCGGTCATCCTTGCACTTCTTGATTTTTTTAGGAAGAGAGGGTGCTTGCTATTGACTAGTTTCACGAATTTGCTGTTCGAAAGTCAGATCAACAATACTGTTGTGCATAGAAATTTTATTTTTTAATTTATTTTTCAGTGATGGACAAGTGCAGGCGATGATTGGTCAGACCCAATCAATGCTGGGCCATGTAGGACTTGGACATACTACCCATCGTGTCATTGGAAGTGTCAAAGTTCCACTGCGAGACGTTATGAAAAGTCCGAACCTAACCCTTGAATCGCCATTCACAATTCTGAGCTCCTCTGACTCTCAGATTTTAGTGAAGATAACAGCTAAGTTCCTTCTGAAAGGTGACCCGAATTACAGTTCGGGGAAAGATCTAGACGATGGTGAGGATTTCCAGGATTCGCATGGAAAAGATGGTGGAACCAATGAACCTGGAAATGCGTTCCGACCTGATTACGACGGAACTTATGACGACAGCTCACCAGGTAGTAAAGGACCTGACAGTGGTGATTACGGAAAAGGGTTCCAAGGAGCAGTGGAGAATAATAATAATTATTATGGAACTCTTGATAGAAAAAATTCAGGTAGGATGTCGAAGAAAGCGACTAGTATCCGATCGATGGCAGACGCGATCCCAGTAGCCAAGTTGTTCCTCAAGATTCGATATGCGCGGGAGTTCAGCCGTCTTATTGTCCAAGTAGACAAGGTTTGATTGCTTCCTTTTAGTATATTAAATTTTCTGAAATGAGTGAGATTGGGTTTTTTAACGGGAATATCATATGAATTCCACGGTTGAGTAATGTTGATACAACTTCCAGGAATATATCAATTGAATCTGAATGCTCTCTTATTTTTCATTAATGTTTGACTCATAGAGCAATTAAAGATGTTTCAAGTTAAAGCCAAAGGGGGAGGCGTCCCATTGAGAAAAATTTGATAAGTCGTTTTGAAGTGTCGAAAAAAAAACGTTGTTTCTGATTTTTTGGGCTACGACCAACCATGGATTACCTTCTCCTTTGATGAAATTGTCTTTTTGTGATGTCAATGACTTTTTTGTTACAGGCAGAAGGACTGTTCGCATCTAAGCTGCTACCGTACGTGGAAGTTAAACTGAAACCAGACGAAATAAAAAAGCAAACAGACTTCGTGAAAACCCTTTCGTCACAGCAAGGATCAGTTCCCAGTCTGCAAATCAGTCAGGAAATTGTCCAGTGGAACAAAGTGTTGGAGTTCATAGTACCCCAGCACGATCTGAGCAATAAAATTCTGCAAGCAAAAGTCAAAAACCACGCGACATTTCCGAGGAGCGACACGTGTTTCGGCTATGTTTCGATCCCGCTTTATACGATGCCTCTCGAAGCTCCGTTTCAGTCGTGGTTTCTCGTGACTCCTAAACCGCAGCCGACGCCTTTGTACTGAAAAATCTCAGGAGTTCTAAAGCTAAAAACTTTATCGAAACCATTAAAAACCTCTGGCCATTTAAAAAAAACTTATATAAAAAACTCTTACATCTTGCCTTAAAAATGTAAACCAGGTTTGGTCAAAATTTGACGTGCTTAAAGCATCCAGGTCACAATCTATCGCTTCTATCGTGCCTTTTGTACAGAAATATTTTAGTTTTGATTAGTTTGTAAATATATTTTTTTCTTTGCACTAATGGAGGTAATAAATTACCCTCAGTAAATTAGTAATTGAGAATTATAATGAGCTTGCCACAAACGATATAAATCCATCATTTTGAAAATGAGATTTTAAATCTGTCTTCGTTAATTCAACTGAAATATGACTCAGAAACGCTAAAATTTAAAATTGAATTTGTGCCGTGATGATATTTTTTGATCAGTTTTCTTGATAACAGGTAGAATTTTTCAGGTTAGAATGAGACTGAAAAAATACACCACGTAAGAGATATGATACAATCAGACAGCCTATAAAATGCAACAGGTAGTTTAGTTTTTCTGTCAATTTGAAGTAATTTAAATAATTCAATGGGAGTATTCTTAAAAAAACTAGTTAAAAGACTAGTTGACGATGTGGGTTCATTGCTTGAATGTCTTAGAAAGATGTCAGTTTGTTTCATTGACATTAATTGCTTTTGCTTAACTTAAAGAAGCCTATTGTTTGTGTATATATTCACTACCAGGAGCCATAGTGGGGAATAGTTGAATGATAATTTTAAAAAATCAAATTGTTTTCAAGAAGGGATTAGTTTGTTAAAAAAATTCACAACTTGTAAGATCACCAAAAAGGCCGTAATGCAGTCTACTAATAGATATGCTTTTGTTATAGGGCGACCTTGTGTGGTTTGACTCTGGCCTGGGCTTCCTCTCGCCCGGTCAGGTTATGCAAGTAAAGCGCAACCCATATGTAGTGTCCATACTCAACGAAGACACCAATGAGGTAAGAAGGGTTCGAATCCCGCAGTCTTCAGATTTATTTTTCTTGAAGTTTTTTCTTTCAAGGCTTGCTTTCGTTCTTTTTGAGCATTTTAGTTTCTTTTTGCTGTTTTTTTCCTTGATAACACTAGAGAGCTTGCGAGCGTTAGTGTAATAGTACGAACTTCTTTTTTTTTCTAACCTAACTAGCAAATAATAGTGTTCATTATTTGGTGGCACTTTTGCTATAATACCGATCTGTAGCATTGGAAATTTCTTAGCATATGTTCTCTGCTTTTTTATGGATAATGTTCAAGATCTATTAAGCGTGCGTGGCTGAGTGGTTAGTTTGTGAGACTCGTAATCTTCGGATCGCAGATCGAATCCGAGACGTAGCCGTATTTTTTTTACTAATTCGAGGCTTGTTTCTACTTTTTCTTATTGCACTTTATAGAGCAGATTTTTGTCGTGTTCTCGCTAGTGTTTGCGAAGCGCAGCTTCGTATTTGTGTACACTTGCCCCCTCAAATTTTTGTATGCTGGTTTTTTGTTCCGACCATTTGGCAATTTGGGAGGAACTTTGTATTCAGGTGTGTTCTAGTTTTTTTTGTTTTCCACGGAAAATCAGGTGCCACAAGTAATCATCGGAATGGGTCGATTGTTATATCATATTGAAGTCCTTTCAGTCGTGATTCGACGGATATTTTAAAATTTTCGAAAATTTGTCCTAGTATCGAGAAAAACAGGTTTAAAATTTTTGATTTTTAGTCTAAATTCGAGCGATAAAGGGAGCGAGCAGGCTTACAATAGCTCATTTTAATAGCTTACAATAACTTACTTCAAACCATGAAATCTTAGTTTTACTTGAATGAAGGTATCTTTTTGAATTTTTAGCACCTTTTGGAATCAAAAATCCAAAAGGATTGAAACCAAATAAAAAGTTTTTTTTTATTATATTTTTGTTTTTCTAGTCGTTTTTCTACAAAAGTTGTTTTCCAATTTGCTTATTTTACTGTGACTGTCGAATATGTCTAAGCTCAACTTTTTCGTTCAAATCCTTTTATCACACTATGCTGAAAAAAAAAACGACTTGTTTGAAAAACATTTTTTTTTGTTTTTTTTTAACTATGATTGGAACATTCTTTGCTAGTTGCCTAGTAACCGGCTATCCTTACTTCTATATTGCGTTGCCTTGTTCTTACTCTGGAGTTGATAAATAACAATTGGAGTTATCTGATTTTTAATCCAGGTCATGCGAAGGGTAAGTTTGCTGCTGTTAATACACCATTGACAGCTCATCATAGCCAGTTCATCGAAATTAAGTCAGCAACATACTCGAACGTCGTATTATTATAGAAAAAGCTGAGTTTTTTAAATAGAATTCAAGATACATTGATTTTTCTGTTGGTTACTGGTATAGGTTCAAAACTAGTTCATAAAATCGATGATCTTTGATCTGCAGTTGATGTTCAGCAGTTTGTTATTATTTGAATTATTAATTTAATATAAATGATTTTTATGGAATCTTTTTTTTTTGTTTTCTGTCTTGAGATAGGTTAATGAGTGTATTACGTTACAGCGGGTGCAGTTGCCGGCGCGCACAGTCTTGCCTGTGAGGGAGAGACTCCCTGAGCCCAATGGAGCAGATGACATGGTCCACCTGAAGGACCTCCACTCCGGATCCATCCTGCAGAACGTCATGCTACGATTTGAAAATGCACAGATTTATGTGAGTGAATTGACTCATAGTTAATATTTTCCACTGATGACAAGGTTTTAGAGCAGCTGTGGCCGAGTGTGGTAAGGCAAGCGTCTCTCAACGCGAGAGTCGTGCCTTCAAATCCCTCTTCGGTCATGACTGGAGGGGTCCCAGTGTCATCATCCTCCCCCACGGTTGGCCTTGCATTGAGTAGGAGCGGGGGAAATTTTAAAAAATGACGAAGTTGTCAATCCAAAAGCGTTTGTCGCAGCGTGAATTTTTTTGTGCAAGCATGCTTGCTTTTTTTGGCTCTGTGTGTTGTTGGTGTTTGTTAGGCATTGAGTTAGGACCGATGGGTATAACTCATAGAGTAATTTCGGATAGGGTACACCGTCTGCTCGTCACGCTATCTTATTTTCGGCCGGATAGGTTCGTGCAACTTCTTAGTCTAATACCGATCCTAATCATACTCTTATACTGTCTAGTCTCAGGTTGTTTAACTAGTCTCTGCTAGGCTCAATAGATCTAGGGTATACTGGTTTATTGCGGCTGCTGAAGTACTCGGGAGAGTTCAACTAATTTCTAAGTTAAATTCAAATCTCTCTGGTGCTGAAATTACAAGTAATTTCAGCACTTACAAATAAGTGGATTGTTAGTTAGATGGATCATGATTGGTTAATATTAAATACTTTACATTGGTAAAATATCTAATTTATCCAATCATAAAATGTAGTTTAGATCAGGTTCCACCCATCCGGGTTTTACAGAGTTTTTTAGAATAGTCTTTCTGCAATTCAAAAGATGGATGATGGACGTTGGTATTTGGCGAACATCTTATTTCTTCTGGGTTTTCTTATTAGAGAAGTCCCAGATTCAATCGTTGTGTCTTCTCAAGACAACGACTGGGTTTTCGCAACAAACTCAAATCTGATTTCAGAATGGTTGGCTATGTCAGGTTTTTCTGTTTCATTGGTGAGAACTTCTTTGTGTTTGACCTTGTCTGGGAATGGCGTGGAGATTGTGCGTGGAGGGGATGCCTGGTTACTCGGATCTGTACGTATACTTGAACATCGAGGTGGTCATTGGTCTAGTTCAATGAAGTCCTTTTCTGCGAAGTCAAGTCGTACTCTAAATCCTTTGAGTTGTGATTGTGGGCGGCATATTGATTGTAGTTGGCCATTCTTTCTCGAGTGTAGTAGGGTCGTTTTGTCTTTGGATGTTCGTCCTTGGTGTTGTATTCTGATCTATGTATTGCATAATGTAATTTACATTTTATAAAACTTTTATTAGTTTAATATTTTTTAATTATGATTTTAGTTAGTTGTTTTCACAAAAGCTTTTTGTTTTAGTTCAGTTATTTTGAAGAGTTACTCACCCTTGAGTAGCTCTTATTAAAAATAGGAGTATGGTCACAAAGCGTGGATGTAGCGCGGTGGGTTAGGCCGGCTATAGAGCATGCTCAGGACGTCCTTCCTGGTGGGTTAGGCCAGGAGTGGGAGTATGATTGCATGCGGTTTTTGTGAGAGGTCCTGTTATGTGACAACGTTTTATGTTGGGTTTGTTGTGGTTTTTCTTATGTTTTGTTGGTTGTGTCCTTTTTTCAAAAATCAAATTGTTTGTGGTATGGGTTTGTCTTTCGACTTTTTTGTGTTTTATTATTTCTTTCTTAGACTTTATAATAGTCTTCAAAAGAATAAATTATCCAGTTTTAAACTGGGTTAATCCGGTTTGGGTACCGTTGGTTTCCTTTTCTTAGTCATGCTGTTATGCTATGTGTTGTGGTGTTTAGTAAGCTGCATTGGTTAGTTTTGTTTAGTATATAATTCCTTTCCAACCGGGTTAAAGGAAAGTTTGAAACGTGTTATCTTGTGTTAGAGTTATCGAGTGTGAAAGCTTGAAACTGAAATTCATTTATTTCAAACAATTCTTCGTGGGCGAGCTGTGCGAGTTTGGATAGAATTCTTGTGCGAGTGAATGAAAATAGCAAAAGGTTAGTACTGTATTTGCTTCTTATTAATTTACTACATAGAATTTTATCTTTACTGCTAGTTGTTGGGGAAAATTAAGTTACAAATTTTCATCATTATTAGATTTACTGCTTGTGGGGGAAAAATTTATAAATTAATTTACTGCATTGGTATTATATTTATTTAATTGTTGGTGCAAAAATTTAATAGGGTTTTAAACAGTTTTGAAGAAGTTTGCTATTTTTTATTTTTCTTTTGTGAATTTTTCAGATGATCTAGGATGAAGGCTAAAATTCTAAAGAGAACATGGATAAAGAATGGTGAGTTTCTAATATTTAAATTAGTTAGTAATATGTATAATTCATACTTACCTGTTAGTCGTCGGGGAAGAAACCGTGGGGGAAGATGTCGTGGATGAGATCTGAAGTTGTTAGTAATTTGGCTAAGATGCGGATGATATTTTTAGTTTGAAGCAGTGGCCAAAGCAATTGAAGTGCCTTAATGGTGGTTAGTTCTTCAGTGCCAACTGCAAATTCATAAGGTGTGTTTTGGATTAGATTATATAATTTGTGGTTGAATTTAGTGTTATGGATGAATTCTAAAATGGGGATTTCTATAGGTTGTACAAACTCGTGTGGGATGAGGAAGGGTCGGGATTCTTCTGCGTTGAAGGTCTTGGTGATGGGACAAAAGATATACATTTGGGTTATGGGATCATAATTTCGAAGAATACCATGAAGGTTAGTATCTTTAATGCAATATGTGAAGTTAAGAAAGAATGGTGAGGTGTATTTGGAATTGATGAATTGAAAACGATGGTGTGGTTGTCTGGAGGGAGTGTGTAGGTCAAAGTGATTTTGGATGAAACGATAATAAGTATATGTGTGTGTTTGTTTAGTGCGCAACATAATATCGTGTGAGCAGTGCAAATCTCTTTCATGTGGTGCAAGGAAATGAAAGGTTAGTGAAAATATTTGGAAGCGTTCTTTAAAACTTTCGTAGGCTTGCGTGTCTGTTAGTGCTTCTGAAACAATGTGGTCAAACTTGCGATCGAAGATATTTAGTGTAAATACATATGGTGTTTTAATGAAAAATTTCTCGGTGATTTGTGGGTTAGCGAAGCGATCGTCGTCTAAGAATTGATCTTGGTTAGTTCTGATGATGTTATGATCGTAATATTCTAGTGTATATTCATTAGCTCGGGGTGCAGTGTGTGTTTTTAGTGATTTTTTATATCCAATGTAAGTAAATTGTCTAGGTGTTAGTGTTGTAGTGAGTCGATATAGCATGTCCTTATTTCGTTCTATATCGATATGAGTGTTAGATAAAGGTAAGCAAAGGGGATTTGTAAAATGATAATATGAGGTCCAAGGAAGGGTAGGCATTAAAACGTATTCGTCTACAAAGTTACGTGTCTCGTTAGTGTCATGAGGGGTGTTTAAGGTGTATTGTGGAAATGAGGGTAAGGTGATAGCTAAAAATTCTTTTGTGTTAGTGTGTTGTGGATGGTTGATATATTCACGGGCTGTTCCTGGTTTCGCTGGGAAAGGATGGTTGGGGAACTTCCTTTTAAAAGTGCGGTAAGCTCTATTAGTGCTGAGTGAAGATTCAGTAGTTGTGGATGATGGTGCTAATGATTCAGTATAAATTGAAGAGGGTGTAGGGGTAGGAGGGTTGGATGAATCTATTGTGGATGAGATTTGGTTTATGGTTGGGGTGTCAAGGTGATAGGGTTGTTGTTGTAGGGTAATGAAATTATCTAGTTCTGGGGAGATTCGGGGGGTGTCTGGAGAATGAGATGATTGGTCTGAGTGAAGTGAGGAGTAGGTTGGAGTGACTTGGGAAGCATAAGAGGGTGTAGAATTGGTTGGGTCAGGGTTATTTGGTAGTATGGGTTGAAAAGGGGGTTGGGAAAAATTTAAGGAATTGGTGTGAAAATTATTTGATGGAGATGGTTCAGAGTCGGCAAATTCATCGGGGGTTTCAATATTCGGGTTATTGAGTTGTGAGATGGAGTATAAAACTGAGATGTGTGAATTAGTATCGGAATTCATGCCGGATGTTACATTACTGGATGGGAAATCGGGTGGCGGAAAAGCAAAAAGTGGTATTATTGGGATTGGAGTGGTGAGGTTGGTTGGGTGGGAATTTGATCGGTGTAGGGATCCAAGTTGTCGGCTCATCGTGGGCTAAAAAAATTATTATTTTGAGACTGAAAAGCGGTGGTATGGGGTTGTTCTATAATTTGTTCATAAGTATTTTCATCTTGTGAGTGGTGTGGCATTATATGTTGGATGGGACTTTGTGATATGGTTGGTCTAAAATTATTATGTGTTATGGCTAAATTTCGAAAATTACGTGGGACTAGGGATAATGGATGGTTATGTGGTAGGGGTGGTAACTGTGGTGCTGTTGGTGTTGTGTCTGCATTGTTATGTTCTTCGTCGTATGTGTTCTGTCTTGTTGCTATTTTTGTGTTATATTCTTTTATTTGTGCGTCTAAAAGAATTTTGTTTATAGATGTAGAAAATATTCCAAAAAATCCTGCAAATAGTATGCGTGCTACACTTGCTTGTCTATTGACTTGTGTGTGTATAGCACATGTGTTATAGATTCCTTTTAAGAGTGAAAAAAGAAATCCAATAAAGTTAAACATTGCGTATAAAATAGTCAGTTTTTCTAAGATGTAGTAGGGCCATCCTAGAAAATCAAGAATTTCATTCTTAAGTGTAACAAAGCTAAAAATATTGATAGGTGATATATCTTGGGGACGGTATTTTTCACCGTTTAGATATATATAATCTTTAATGTCCTTAAAATATCCGCTATAGTCTTGCGTATAGATGTCTGCAAATCCTGCGGTTTCGGCAAGTTTGCGTAAGTTTTGGTCAATTGATTGTCTTTGTATTGTGTCCATTTGTTAATAATTCCTGGAATTGTTGTGTTCTAATGTGATGTTGAATATCTGATTTTGAGTATATTCCTATTGATTGTAAGTCTATATTTGGGTTTCGAGCGATAGCGCGAATGCTTTCTGGTGAAAATTTTTTGAGTGATTGCATT